CTTAGTAATACACTGATCGGCTCGGCCGATCGCACGATCGTCCTGGACGATCTAAACAAAATCCAATCGGCCTGGGACGATTTCTCAGGATGATAATTAATTTACAGGACGATTTGCTCTCTGACTTTTACCATACACTAATAGTTCCGGGATGATCCCAGATCAGCCTGGACGATCCATACAGGAAATTTTTCCTGTAACTTCTGGACAAAATCTGGAACAAAAACTGTACTGATCGTCCCGGGACGATCCAGATCGGCCCGGACGATCCTGGAGCAGATTGATGTTACAATCTCCCCAACTTCAGAAAATGTCGTCCTCGACATTGTCCAAACAGAACTCAATCAAAACAAGTACGGGTACGACTTCCTCATGTCCGATTCTTTCTCCCAAGTCACTTCCCGTGCAGTTCGGTGCTTCCACTGCACTTTAACCACCGGAATCTGCTTACTTCTCAACTTACGAACATCGTAAGCTAGAATCAACTCGGGTTCTTCCTTATAGCTCAAATTCTCCTGAATCTCAATCTCATCAGCGGACACTTTCTTCCCAGAGTCAGATATCCACTTTCTCAAAGTAGATACGTGGAACACATTATGAACATCGGACATCTGATCAGATAGCAACAGCCGATAAGCAGATTTTCCAATCCTCTCAAGGATTTCAAAAGGTCCAACATATCTTGGACTGAGCTTACTCACTCTGCCAAATCTACTCACACACTTCATCGAACTAACTTTGACATACACAAAGTCACCAACTTGAAATTCAACGAGCCTGTGCTTCTGATTGTAATATTTCTGTTGTCGATCTTGTGCAGCTTTCAACCTTTCTTTAATCAAATCAACTTTCTTAACAGTTTCTTCTACAAAAGTAGCACCCATCTCCTGTCTATCTCCAATCTCAGTCAGAGTCGAAGGAGTTCTACACTTCCTGCCATACAGAGCTTCATACGGTGCCATACCAATACTGGACTGAAAACTGTTATTGTAAGCAAACTTTATCAGAGGAATGTGATCTTCCCAGCTTCCTCCAAAATCCAAAACATAAAGCCTCAACAGATCTTCCAGTACTTGAATATTCCTCTCAGACTGTCCGTCAGTCTGTGGATGAAAAGCTGTA